TTGAGGATGAGTGGATCCAGAAATCTGCTTGGACAGCTTTGAAAGCTGTATAAAAGGTCTGTTTGTCTCCCAGGACCACGTGTTTTGTCTAAATATGGATCCTGCATCTGCAGTCTGTCATGTATAAAAATATGTTCCTGTTTGTAATCATAACAGGAACACCCAGTACCTGCCACGCTCAGAACAAAGTATGGCCACGCCGATGAGGTAATGCAAAGGTATTGCTTTATGGGGAGGGTATTTCATGGTAACTGCATCTCTGGGAGCTCTCCTACTATGGAGGGAAAAGGTCGCTTATTCCCTTTACTGTGGGGTAGGAGCCTGTTTCCAGATAAGAAACGTATTGCAAATCTAACAAAACATATTGTAAACCCAAATCCTAGTTTGTATATAGTCACACAGGCACAGAGCAGCGGTGGTGGCTGAAAGAGGTGCCAAAGAAGACATAGAGAAGGAGGGCAGTTGTTACTCCTTGTACTTTAATTCTTAATCTTCTCTTAAAAAGAAAAAGAATAAAATCACTTGTATAAAAAGTGTGCAGGTAAGGTTTGTTTTTCTTGCTTTCTTTGAAGGCGATCGTTTCTATTGCAAGGTCATGGTCCCTTATAAAAGCTGGTTGCCTAGTTTCTGCCATACCTTTTATGTCTGTTTTGCATTGTATTTGTGTTCTTCTGATGGTAAATGACAGACACCCTGTTTGGCATGGCTTTTATGCAAGCACTATGCTGCTTGTCTTTTTTTATTTGTTCAGAGCTGCTCCAGCTCCTGTCCAGCTGCTCACCTGGCCTCGTAGTGCTGGTGCAAGCCCTTGGCTCCTGGGTGGCTTTGGAGCTGGAAATCTGTGTGGAGCTGCTGCCTGGGTGCTGGTCAGTGGGGGATTTTGAGGAGTATTAAGGGAGATGTTTATGGGCAGATGGCTGCAGAGAACTGGAACAAACAAGTATGAATGGCTGGAGCATGTACAGTGCTGACTTGAAACTTCCTAGAAGTTTTGAGGTCTTGGACAATCCAGAGTCTCTTGTCACTCACTAACTGTTCTAGCAGGGCAGGATGGTGGAATATGTCATGCAGTGATAACTGCAAAAATCTCTGGCTCTTCACATCAGTGGTGAGCAAGAGCCCTTGGTCTTCTGTTGTGTTTCCCTAGACAGCAGGCAAGGCTACCTGCTGTGGAGGGTCCTGCTTCATTGATTCATTTCCTTATGGAAGAAATACTGTGGGTTCCCCAGCATGCTGGCCCTCCTTGCATACCCTTCGTCGTCTGGGTAGGTTCAGCCCCCATGAAGAGCTGCCTGGCAGCCTTTTTGGAGTAGCGCGCACAAAAGCACTTGGGATGTTCTCCGCATCCATGCGTGGGCTGTGTCAAACTGGCTGGGTGGTTCGGGCTTCTTACTGCTCTTCAGTTGTTAAAGCTCTTTGGTATGTTTAAAGCTAGCAAAGACAGATTAGGAGCATGACATTTGGTAAAAGTGAACATTGGTGGCTTATCTAGCTACTGGCATTTTGGTTTGTCATTGAAGGTGGCTACACAGGTGAGTCTAGGCTTCATGGCTGTCGTTCAAACTGCACTGCTATGCATGCTAATGGTCTCCTGGTGGATATGTTATATTGCCTCTCTGCTTAGGCTGCCTGCAGAGAATGAAGACTTTTTGTATGTTGCAAATAGCAGCTGAAAAGTTGCTTTTGAAATCCAGCTTACTCTTGTGCTAGTGAGAGGCTTCTGTCAGGTTTTGCTTTTTCCCCCAGGCTCCCTGTTACTGCCCTCCATAACGTTTCCTCCTTGTCCTAGGTTTGGGAAGGCTTGAGCAGCTTCGGTCACGAAACAGCTTCTGTTATAACCATGAGTGGACTCTCTGCATCTGTGCCTTGAGCTTCTTCATGATCTAGAGTTGTTGTCAGTAACAGTGATATGTGTTGGTCCTTACTGAGTTTAGTGAATCAACTCTTAAACCAGGCTTGCTGTAGCTATGTCTTGGCTTCTTCTCTGGGTATAACCTCATCTCTCCCACCTCCTCTCCCCTACTACATAGAGACTTTAAATGCTGAAATAGCAGCTGTTTGCCAAAGGAATACAGATGCACCTGAATACTCTGTATGTTGCATTTACCTTCGTGTGGAAAGTCCATCCCTCTTTGACTGGTCATACCAAACTTCCCTTGGATCCTTCTTGGCAAGTCTTGTAAACTTGGGGGGGATACAGACTGACATTAGGAAAGGTGACCTCTTCATTGGTGAGTGTCAGGAAATAAATTTGTGGGTGAAGCTATTGTATGTTTGGCTATTCCACGTGTTTGGGTGTCTTCCACATGGCATATTTGGGATTACCTTCCCATCCTTTGGCCTGGTGCTTCTGCTCGAGTGGTGGGGATTGCCCTGCACCTCTTGCTCTCTGCTGGGTATGGTGATAATGGAGGAGGTCTGCACAATGTAATGGTCTCTTGTTTTCTCTTCTTTGTTCTCATCTGCTGGACCAAAGCTTGCACTGAGGAAGAGTTGGTAGCAGGAGTAATTGTGTCTTCTGGCCAACAGGGCAGGCAGAGGCCTCAAAAGGAGGCCATAGGTGGTGAGGAAAGACCTTGCTCTAGACTCTTATGTTCTGCTGTATCTTACAAGGCAGCTGGTGAAGCAGCACGGTCTCTGCCCCACCATCAACCTGAGTGATGAAGCAATGGGATCCCATCTCTGCTTGTGGCCACTTAACACCCAGAAGGCTGCAGGCAAAGTGGAAAGAAAATGAGCATTTACTCTGAAGGCACTAAAGCAGCTTATTCTGCAGGGGTTTTCTTGGGAGTCCCACCATGCTCTGGTTATTGTATGAACAGCAGTATTTAAGCTCAATGGATTGCTTGCCTATGCAGAAGGATGGGAATGAGGGTTGGGGTTTAGCCTTTGGCCCAGACTCTAGGCTGGGGCTGTTGGTTTGGATGAGTCTTCAAACATCTTCAGCTTGGGGACCATGGTCTTGTTTGTTTTCTTGAGTGGACTGAGACTTTTCGGACCCTGTCAAGGCCAGGTGGTGCAGTTGGCAGTCAAGCTCGGATTTTTTTTCCTTGTGTTTCCTTCTGTCCTGCTTCCTTGTTATCACAACTTTGCGAGCAGAGATCTTTAAGGCATATCTGCTTGCTCTGTGTCCTGTAAACAGCAGAAACAGCTGAAGACAAGCATGCTTTGGAGGTGGGGGGAATGCTCTGAGTTTTGTGGGTGATTCAAGGTTTTCTGGGAAACTGAGTTACTAGAGCATGTGAAGAACAGAAGTCTGGATGTTAAAAGGACACTGGTATTAGAAGGGCTCAGATGACTGTGACCTGGTCTGAGTACCTTGTGCCCATCATGTACTGTGTAGGGCACTGAGGTGGATCCCACCTATGGGCAGGTGTGTGGGCATTTGGAGTTGTAGCACTTGAGATGCAGGCATGGAAGCGCTTTGCAGTATCTGATCCAGAGTGTATGTGAAAGCACGCTTTGCTCTGTTTTAAAATCTTCTTTTACCAAATCACTGTGTAAGGGCATGGAAAAGACAAATAACCCTTTTTGAGGAGAAAAAAAAATAAATAAAAATAACATTAGTGGGATGGTGACGCTCAGCATTTATTTTGGCTAGTGGAGCTCTTTCTAGTAACTTCAGCGTAGCTCTCCCCGCTCCTGCTTTTTTTTTTTCTTCTTCTTCTTTTTTTTTGTTTTTGTGGGTTTGGGGTTTTTTTTTTTTTTTTGGCTTGCATTTAACAAAGTACAATTGAGTCTGAACAACTTGGCCCGTCTCGATGCGGTGCATGACTCCAAGTGTCCTGGTACAACATAAACGTGCGCTTTTGTGGACGAGGCGGGGGGGATATATCATTGCATTTCTCCTCTTTCCGCCTTTTTCTTTTGGAGGAGCCACCTGTTAGCATTACATCAGCGGCTCCCAGGAACGCCGCCTCCTACCAAAGGCCTTACACAAAGTAGTTCTTCTTGTATTGTTTGCGCTCAAAGAGCTGATGTCATGCCAACTGATGTCATCGTGTGCTTTGTGTAATCGCTATGGAAACCGGGCAGGTGGGGAGCCTGGGCCTGATGTAATTGCCGAATGAGGTGCAGAAAGAAGGTCTGCTTGTTTTTCTTGCTCTAGTTTTGTGGAGCCACCCTCTTGGAGGAAGAAAGGAGGAAAAAAAAAAAAAGGAGGGGAAAAAAAAAAAAAGGAGGGGGGGAAATGGTGTTTGAAAAAGCCAGAAAAATGTGCAATAGAGCCTGGGGAGGCATGAGCCAAAAAAGTGACTTCTCCCTCCGTCTTGGATCCATTTCCCAATTCATATTAATGTCCTAAAAATAACTCTTGCTAGATATTTTCAGGCAAACAGGGCAGAAAAAGAAGAGCTGTTTGCCACATGTTAAGTGAGCACCTCAGTTACTGTTTAGGTTATAAGCAGCTGTTTTCTTTTGTTTGACTGCATAAATGCATAGGTACGGTTCCCCAGAGGGATGCCGGCGGGATCGGTACCCACCCCTCCTCAGGGGTGTTGGGTGGGGGGATGCCCTGTGGGGCTGCTCTCATCAGGCAGAGCTGCTGTGGACAGGTGAAGCTAAAAGACTGTCCCAGCTGGCTCGCTGCTCTGCTTTCACATGCTGCTAACCATTTGCTCATAGTTTTGGTGATATTTTCCTTTTCCAAAAAATGCCTTTTGTCTTTCTTTTTTTTTCCCCTCTCTCCTTTCCCTCCTCCTATGGGCTCATAGGTGAGGCAGCCCCAGCACAGTGGTGTTGCACAGAGGCATGTTTGTCTGTGAGCCTGTTCCCTGGCACTGTCAACCTCGTGGAGGGGAGGACAATGCATGCCGCTGATTCATGCCACCCTTGCTGTTGGTGGCTGTGCCCAGCATCGGTCACTGTGACAGTGGTGGTGGGGACAATAGAGCTAGCTCCAGTCCTGGTGGCCCCAGCGTGTGCTCTGAAGAAAGGTGAGTCCAAAGCGCTGCTGACCTTGGGGTGTCTAACCAAAATATCTGCTTGGTCTCTTTTCCCAGGAGGACTCAGTGGTTTCAAGCAGAACCATGAAAACCTCTGCGATAACTCCCTCCAGCTGCAAGAGTGCCCGGAGGGGGGAGGAGGGGGCGGCGCGTCTGCTGTGCCCCCCACGCTACCTCAGTCCATCCCTACTACGCCAGACATTGAGAACGCTGAGCTCACCCCTATCCTGCCCTTCCTCTTCCTTGGAAATGAGCACGATGCTCAGGACTTGGAGAAAATGCAGAGGATGAACATAGGCTACATAATCAATGTGACCACCCACCTCCCCCTGTACCATTATGAGAAAGGTCTGTTCAACTACAAGCGGCTCCCGGCTACTGACAGCAACAAGCAGAATCTCAGGCAGTATTTTGAAGAGGCTTTTGAGTTCATTGGTAATTACCCTTGACTGGAAATACTTCTGATATTTTTACCTGTTGTAAGAATCTAGAGTGAATGTTATGCTTCGCTAACTACCCTGAAGGCTGTGTAAGACCATATTTTTACTTTTGTTTAGGTTGTCAGAAATGCTGAGCACTTCATGTTTCTCCTCATTCTCATCTCTGGCATATCCAGCTGAGTAGCCTGGGGTTACAATTTTATCCATTGATGCCAACCTCCAGGCCTCAAAATTCAGGAAACCCCATGAAAGCAAGATTTTTGTCACCCCCTCTTCTTGGTTGCTTTGCATTCCTGGTTTCCACAGTGGCTTCCAGCCAATTTTTCATAGTAACTATTTTTAATGATGGTTGAGTCTTTCCTAACTTAATTTCATAAGAAAACTGACACACTTTCACACTTCACTTGTTCTACTATTGGATTTATAACTTCAGAGTGTAAATGAGTGGATAGTGATGAAGTATTAATAAGCCTCAAAACCCTGTAGGCTGTGTGAGAGAGTTTACCACAGACATGCATCTCCATCAGACGTTGGGGAGGTTGCTGAAGAAATGAGACAGCAACATTACCCGTGTTGCTCTGAACCTCTCTGGGATTCACACAGCACAACCCTCAGCCAAGTTTAGAGGTGTGTTCAGCTCTGCTTGGTCATCCAGGCTAAAGCCAGGTGGCCTCTTCCAGCAGGGCTGGTTATTGAGGACATCAGCACATGGTACTGAAAGCTTTTGAGGACCTTCCCTTGCCTCTTTTTGTGGACGCAGCTCCCTGCAGTGCCTTTTGCAGCATAATGAATGTCCCCTTGTGCTTTTCTGTCACGAGTGTGTCTTCTAAAAGATTTTCTGAAATATGCTGTGGGAGGACCACTGGTGTATAATTCTCTTTTCTTGTGCTGAGGTTCAGCTAGTCTCATATCTAGTACTTCAGGCTTGATAGTGGAGGATGAAACAATGGAAACTTGCTTCTGTGCTGTGACACAGCTTAGGTGGACTTGTTGAATTGGGCACAGAGTTGTCTTCCTCCCTGCCTTCAAACAGTCGGTGTTTATGGCCCTTGAGTCAGGATGTGGGTACATGGCTCCTCTGAAACTCAAGCTTGCTTGCGTGGGCTCTCTGGGGTGCTCTTGGGCTCAGGAAGGACCTGGTGTGGGGCTGGGTCCCAGGACAGGGAGTCCAAGCGTATTCTTCTGAGCCTATCTGCCCATGCTGTATGCCTGGGCAGGACAGGGGCTCACTGCTCTGACGCAGACAGCTCTTCAGCCTAGTCCAGCTGTGTTTTGCTTGTCAGGGGGTTGTTGTATGCTGCTGCCTGCAGTCCATCGCCGTGCTGCTTTAGTGAAGGTGGACAGGAAAATCACTGCTTGCACTGCAGTTCAGATGGAGTGCAACATTAAAGCTTGAGTCTTACCACTGAGAGTTTATTAGCAGCCCTTGGGCTTGTCCTCTGCCGTGGACCAAAGGGTCTCTACTTGCAACTAAGTTTTCCCTAGAGTTTTTAACTCAACCCTGTCTCTACCAGTACTGCCATCAGCTCCCCAAACTGCTGATTACTATGTGCGTGGGAAGATGAACACCCCTTTTGGATGAAGGGAAGAGATGGAACCCTCTCTGAGGGCAGGGGAGAGGGAACCTCACTTTGATCCTTTGGAAAGAAAGACTGGGTCAAGAAATCCAGTAAAACCTTAAAGTTTAAATTCAACATGATGGGGAGATGCAATAGGCTAAGCTTAACATAAAGAAACTGCAGAGCTCCATTGAGGTCCTCTGGTGCTGGGAGGGAGACTTCTGTACCCCAACATCCCTACAAACTGCAGGATTAGAGCTCTTGGAACCACTAAAGTATAGTATTTGGCTTATGACCTTCCCAAAGGCAGAGAAAGCAGCCTTGCTCTGAAGAGGTTTAGAAAGTGTTTCAAAACCCATTTCACTTTCTTTTTATAATTACAGCTTGAGGGTCTGTCTTTGTTTTTAATAACCAAATATTTCTTCATTGAGAATTTTTCTCCATAGCAAATTCAGCCAGCTGGGGAAGTAACTAGTGAAAGCTTTTCCTTCTTCAGGGTAAACTTTAAATTGCATTTGAGAAGATTTGGAAATGTTTAAACAGCAGATCATTGGCCTATGTTTCTTTAAATGTGTCTTGAAAAAAACACAACCAAGCCCAGCTAAGTCTTAGCTAAGACCGAAGCCATAGGAAGTGAAATCATAAAAAACTCTCTGGGAAAGTGTGTCAAAATGCATTAGAGTTTTGGCTTTCTGAAACACTAACTGCTGAAAATGTCTAGGGGGAAGCTGGCTTCATTTATGCTTTCACAGTACAGGTTGAACATGTATGGTTCATCCTACCCCGCTCTTGGTGGGGTTGGATTCATGCCAAAACTTGCAAAGTACATTCATGCTGTTCCTGTGGATTAACACATTGAAGTGTCATATTTTGAAAGTTTTATTTGCTGTTTTAAAAGCAAGCTGTGGGAGATGAGGCTGCTACAGTAGTGAATCTCCTCTTGTGTCCTGTTAGCACATGGTTCCAGGAGCTCTGTCCTCCCTAAATCCTGCCCACGTTGCATCACTCTAAGTGACATATCTTGGTGGAAAGCCTATGTGAGTGTGATTGTGTGTGTTATCATTTCCCTCCCTCCCCACTTTGTCCTTTCCCCACCACTCCCAGTGAGAAGCTCTGGAGGGGAAGCATTGGGCAGAATGCGATGCTGTGGTTGAGTTGTGAAGAGGCAGGGATGGCAAAACCCCTTCTCACGCTGCTCAAAGTGACCAAGTCAAAACACAGTTTCATATGCAGGAAGTGAGGAGTCAGAATTTGAGGTCTCTTGCTGCTGGAGACTTGCTGAGGTATAAGCTGGATCCAGCTCCTGCACAAACACCACAGCAGAGTGCCCTGTGGAAGGAAGCTCATTTCAAGAGTAGCTTTGTAAAAGCCTCAAAGAATGGGACTTTGAAACAGATGTATTGTTATTGAATCTGAAAATACCTGTTTTTGAAATGGTGATGTCCTACTTTGAAAGACAGGGAAGGTGAGATGCCGGTGTAATGCAGTGGCATTGCAACAGAGGTGGAGACAGAGTCTGGGCTGCCCTGTCATGGGCCTCGATTTCCTAAGTAGATTCCCTGCAGCAGTGCATGTGAGCAGCACAGCAGTGTCTCTCAATGTGCCGTTCATCTAATGAAGAGGTACAAGTGAAACGTGATGATTTTCAGTGTTAGACTGGCCTGTGTGTTTCACCTTCAGTAACTCTGAAACCCCAAAGGAAGATGGACTGGAGTGCAAGGGGAGGAGATGCTGCTGTGCTTGTAATCAAATAAAGGGACTTTTCACATTAAGTTACTTTTAATTGCACTGAGCTTTTTCTGATTTACAAACTGGCAAAAATCTTACTTTCTTCTGCCTTTCTCGTTTCCAGAGGAAGCTCATCAGTGTGGAAAAGGTCTCCTCATCCACTGCCAGGCTGGTGTCTCCCGATCTGCCACCATAGTTATCGCGTACTTAATGAAGCACACGCGCATGACCATGACGGATGCCTATAAATTTGTAAAAGGCAAACGACCAATCATTTCCCCTAACCTTAACTTTATGGGGCAGTTACTGGAGTTTGAAGAAGATCTAAACAACGGTGTTACGCCGCGAATCCTCACACCAAAGCTGATCGGCGTAGAGACTGTCGTGTGACGGCAAAGCTGTGAGGAGGTGGTCAATGAAGGGGTTAACCTATTCTTCACCTAATCTGGGGCAGTGGTGGGTGGGTTGTGGGTTTTTCTTTTTAGCTTTCAAGGAGGGTTTTGTGGCAAACTTTTTGTGAATAAAAACTTTTTTTTCTTTTTTGTAAGGAAAGGTTTTTAAAAGAGATCCAAGAACTTTGCTACGTTTGGGATGCTGTTGTGATTTCCTTCCCAAACACTGGCAGAGCAGGGAGGCTTTGGAGCAAAAGGAGTACTTTTTAAAATCAAAACAAAAAGAAGAAATATTGGCCTTTTTTTTTTTTTTCTTTTCATTTTTCCCTCCTCTCTAGCTACTTGTAGAGATTATGGCTAAGTAGTCTGTGCAGGTTCATAGACTGAAGAAACCTAAGTTGAAGACGAAACACAAACAGCCAAAACAAAGCGGGAGAAAAAAAGAACTCCCTGAAACATAAGGGCCTTCGTTCTGCAAAGGCTTTGCTAAAGATAACCTAGCAAAACACTCACCAATGCAAAGGAAATTGGAGCAGCTTAAAAAGTCTGTAAGGCACTTTTCACACTCCTGACTCAAACTAAAGAAGAAAAAAGTTTATTTGGCGTGTTTCATGTTCCAGTTCTATTTTTCTATTTTGGGGTGTAAGGTTTTAACTGTAAGGGACTTTGATCATTCTATGCCATATGCCTTCACTGGCTTCTTGTGCAATAATAATTTCTGGTTTGTTTTGAGTGTTCAAACCAATTAGAGTTGGCTGCCCACTAATAATAAGATAATAATTTTTGAAGTCTCATAGTGCAGCGGCAGCCGGCTTGGTTCAGAAAGGATAAATGAGAGCAATTATTTTGTTTCTTTATATGATTTTGATCCTGGTTACAGTGCCATAAACCTTGTTACATATGTATATCAGAATGTACAAAAATCGAGAACGAGCAAAGTTTATTTAAAAATATTTTTCGCACAAAATATTGTTGTGTTTCAGTTGTCTATGTAAAAAAAAAATTTGATTATAAAACAAAAAATCTTTTGGAAAATGTGTGTCCTTTTATTTCTTTAGCAATTTTCCATTTTCTTTCTATGGGATGGGTTTTTGTTCTGTTAGTTTTGTTTTTGTTTGTTTGGGGTTTTGTTTGGTTTTAGTGTGCATCTCCCTTTGACAAAACTATCTCTTATTTGGCATCTTCTCCTCAGTGTTTCATTCCTGTCCTCTGCTGGTGGAACATGTTTTCTTTTTTTTTTTTTTTTTTTTTTTTTTCCTACTGTGCTCTTGTATCTTTTGATTTCTGTAACCAGATTTTTCTTTCCTGGAAGTACATCAGTTTTGGAGCTGTTCAGCTGAATGAGCACTATCACACACCTGTTATTTTGACAGCTCAGTAGCCATTTGAAAAAATGAGAAATAAAGATTCACCACTGATTCCTTTTAATCTTCTTCCAATTAGCTTATCTTCTGTGTTACAAATTGTCCACTTCCTAGAAATATGTTGGTCTCTTGTGTGCTTTTCCCTGACCTCTCCATAGGCTGCTCCTTTAGCAGTTCCATGATTCCTCAGAATCTTCCTCCTGGGGTATTCCCCTCTCCCTTGCCCATCTTTCCTTCACCCTCTCTTTTTCCAGCTGTGTTAAGTGTGGTGTGTATTATAGGGCTGATGTTTCTGCCTGACAGTGTCCCGTAGGCAGCCGACTTTTGCTTTCTTTCTTTGTATTTACTTCTTTTTAATGATATGGTATAACCTGATCTCTTCTGGACTGTTACCAAGTCTAAAGTTTATTTGTATGAACCTAAAATGAGATAGAAAACATTTCTCGTGTGATTATGTTGTGCAAACTGATATATCAGAAGTCTGGTATCAGTGAAGGTTTTTCCTAGATGAGGACCTAGATGGACTGAACCAAGTTTAAAACAGGACCTGTCAGAAAACTTATGTATAATCACATTAGACATGTATATTTTTGTGGACATTTTACTTAAAATGTTGTTACTATACAGATATTTTCTTGAAACTTATCCCTTTATTAAATTATTTTTCTACTGGAATTGATTATTATTATTTTCTATGATCAATACTGGTCCTTTTGCCAAGGTGGCAAAACCTCTTAGATTGTGACCATTTGTGAAGCTAAGGAGAGAGTGGCTGAACAGAGAAGTCACTGTTTGCTGGTTGGGAGCCTTCATGCTCCAGGAGGAAGGAGGTTCCTTAGAAGAGATGGTCTTCTTCCTTCCCTTCCTTCCTCCCTCCCCTCTTTCCTTGTGTTTGGGCTCAACTTCTTCCAGCTGTTCTCCATGAGCTGCAGGTGCAGGTTGTTTGATAGCAGGGAGGAAGTTAGAAAACCTCTTTGTTTGATGCCAGAGAAGCACAAGCAGCAGCAAGGCTGAGGGATGGCTGAAAAGTTGGTCCGCACAGCCTGTGTTTGTGGCTGTAAGTGCTGTGTAATAAAGCTGACACTCTGCAAGGGAAATGGGTTATTCAGCAAGGGAGGCATATGAGCTGCCTACCTGGGACACAGCTCTCTTAAGTGTGAGGAGAAGGAGGACTAAATTCAGAATTGATCTTCCCTGTTACTGCTGTTTTCTTGTTCCCATGCTAAATGGCCTGATGCGAATGCCTGCAGTGGGAAGAAGGACCTGCTGCACTGACGTGACTTACGGCATCCCCTCTGGTTCATCCTCAGCTGCCTTACGCTGCCCTGGATCAGGATCAAGTTTGCAGCCATGTAAGTTCTTGCTTTTGGTTCTTATTTAAGCTGAAGAGTTGCCTTTGCAGCCCTGAGTAAGTTACTGGCAGCGGAGGATCCAATGCGTTTTTCTTGGGAAGGCTGAGCAGCACTGCTGTTGCTGCGTGCATGGACGTGGAGTTTGAAGGGCTTGCTCCCTGCTGCAGAAACCCCATCAGCCTTTGTGCTTGTCACGGTGAAAAGTAGTGAGCACGGGGTAAAACTTGCCTGGTTTTGCTCTGCAGTGTGATGAACTTGGGAATGATGGGGCAGGGCGATGCGAGGTTGTGAGAGAGTGGAGTTTGCTGTGGGTCTGTCGGTAGCAGAGACAGGCTGGATCAATCTCCTCCTGTGTGCTGACCCAGTTGCTTGCAGGGGGCTGGAGCTGGGCTGGAGGAGAGGAGCTCAGGGGGGTTATGTCCCACTGAAGGCAATGCTGGGGAATGGCAGCCTGGGAATCACTTCACTGGGGCACAGGCTGGGGAGAAATGCTGATTTTTTCCAGGCAGAGTTTACTGAAGCCAGTGAATGACGATGTGACACATGCCTGAGGGCCAGAGAAATTCAGTTAGGGTTTGTATGAGTGTTAGGCCACCTGGGAGCCCTGCCTGCGTGCACACATGTTAGAGGTGCCTCCTTTTCTGGTCCCTGATATTATACACTGCGAATATGCACCTGCGTAGCAGTAGAAAGCCCCTATCTGCCACTGCATGCTCCAAGCCAGAAAAAAAGAGATTTGCCTTCATTTCTAAGATGAAGCAAGGCTGGAAGGGGTAGGGGCTGCAGCCACAAAGGAGTCTGAGCAGACATAGGTGTTGCTCTGCCACAGAAGCTTCCAGAAAGGTTATTTCTGACTTTAAGGTGAGAATTGAGGCTTGATCACTGATCCTCTGCTCTTACCGCTGGCTATAGCACACTCCTAGCCTCTCCAAGATGGGATATGGTTAAAACAAAACACAAATTAGGATAATAATTCTGTAACCTTTGGTGCATGTGTGAGTGTGTCTGCAAGGACAGGACCTGCTTTTCCACACTCAGCATCAGCATTGCATGCTTGCGTGTAAGGTATGCTAAAATAGGTACTGTCCTGGAAAAATAGATTACCTCAGAACTTATTTTCTGTTTCTCCCCTTGGGAGGTTGGGGTAGACCCTTGAGTGGTTGTTTCTGAGTGCATTGCCCTCAAGACCCAGGTCTCTGGAGTGGGTCCCTGAGATCCAACTTGCAAAGCCAGGCAGGGTGTTCAGAGCAAGTGCTGTTTCTGGTTATGAAACCACCTTCTCTTTACAAACTCTACCAAAGGGTGAGCTGTCAGTGTGTGAGAGTTTTAAGAGCTGCTGTAAGTCCCTGTTAAAGCTAAAACTGTTACTTTCATTGATCTTGCAAACTATCCCAATTTTAAGGTTGGACTTTCAGAGCCAAGAGGTTGTTTAACTTTCTGTGCTAAGTACAGAAATTTTGTATGCTTCATTCTTCTGACTCCCAGTGAAGACCAAACAAAATCCCCCTTTTTGTCTTGGCAGTTGATTTTCTGAGTTTTTCTATGACTTTGCCTTTCACAGATGTTGTGCTAACATCCTTTGGGGAAAGACAAATCAAAGGTTGCTCTCCTAGCTGCTTGACAGATACAGGTTAGGAGTATTTCAAGATGAAGCAATCCTGTAGGAAGTGTGTTGTTACCTTATGGTCACAAGATCTGCCAACGACTTGTAGGGAGGTACGTTCAAAAGCACACACAGGAGCTGATGAGACCAAGATAGGAGACACAAGGAGTGTGGGAAAGTGCTGAGTGGGCTGGGAGCATTTTGGCCTCAGGTCCCACTCAGCCATGGTGGAGCTGGCTCCTGGTGTGTGCAGTGCCAGCAGCAGGAAAGCCTCTGGGAACTGAAGATGCTGATTCAGTAAGGAGGACAAAAATAAAGTGTGCTGTCTCTTAACTGAGTTAAGGAGGTAATCAAAGAGAGATAACAAGCAGTTGATGGCTGTCTCATTAGCAGGTATCTGCTTTCCTGTCGCACATTTGCTTGCTGCTCCTGTAGGTACCACAGAGGAGGTTACTGATGAGCAGGTTTCAAATGGTTTGAGTACAGCCTCACATCACTAGTCAATAATCAAAGCCCTTGGTTTTCCCCCAAGCCTGCTGCTGCTGGCAGCAAAGGGAGGTGGTTCAAGCCACGCCGTGTTCCCAGGAATGGTCCTGGGTGCTGCAAGCCCCCAGCTTTCTCCCACTGCTGGGTGCAATATTAATCTCTGTTCAATCGGGTTCTTTTTGCTGAGGGGTTTCTTTCTTCTGTATGTCCGTTCCCTCTGTTGGACTCCTGTCCCAGTGGAGCATGAGATGGAGGACCAGGGTCCTTTCATGTCTTGCTTTAGCTGTCTTCTGCATCTTGGCCAACCCTGTAATTCCTCAGGCTAGAGGAAAGCAATTTAAATCCAGTCATTTTTGAAGGTGTACTGCAGTGGGATGAGTGTTTTCAGTCACCATGATGGGCTCCTGGTTTGATTTGGGCAGCATCTCTCCTACGGAGGCCAGAGCCCGAGACCTTCTCCTGCAGCAAGTCCTGCTTGCAAGCGCCTCATTACTAGAAACGAGGGACATTGTTGGGATGACAAAATTACATATTGCGATTACCTTCTGATCTCTAGTTGGTTCTGCCCAGGGTGGGGAGGCCTGTCAGGTGTGCAGGGAGCTGCAGCAGGACCAACATGCAGCCAGAAAGGCTGCTGGTGACTCAGCGGCTGATCTTCTCTTTGTGTCTTTATGGAGCCAGTATCCTGGAGTATGTAGGGATATGGTCCCTTGCCTCAGATGCTGTCTGAGCTCCTGTTGAATTTGGCTGGATCCAGTCTGCTTTACGTCCTCCACCATGAGATGTTTGTTTGGCATGTTCCTGGGCAGTGATGTGAGTTTGTCAGAGTGAGCTCCTGCTTCAAGGCTGGGTTCATTTCAGTGACAAGGAAAAACAACCTGAAGTTTTATGCCTCAGGATAAGAATTGCTGTATCTGGGAGGGGGAGGGTTCAGTGCAGTACAGAAACACTTAAAAAAACCTAAAATAAATCAGGGAGTCGAGTTAAAACATGTAACAAACTATTTCTGGTAGAAAAAAGAACTAAACCAGAGGTTAAATGTAACTTGACTCATACGCCTTGTCTTCACACTTCTATTTGCTATACCTGAGGTGCTTTGATTGTCTATATATAAGAAGTGACATTGGAGAGCATGGATTTATCATGAAGATTTATTTGTCATGGAGAGATGAAGGAGCTGTCTGGCACTTGGGGGTTTCATATCAAGTTGTGCTTCTGGCAGATGCCAGT